TCCCAGTGTGTTTCAGAAAGGGCACCTAAAAAGGTTTCAACAACATATTAGAGTAATTGTAGTGCATTGTTCATTTAACAATATTTTGAAAGTATATCCTATGTGCCCAGCAGTGTTCTTAGTATTAGAAATATGTGGTTAACAAAAATTCCTAATTTTATGAAGTTTACATGATGGTGGGAGTGAGRTAGCAAATAAACAGTTTCACTTTAGAAAGTGATATTTGGGATAGAAAGGAAATCAGAGAAGGAGAACTTCAGTAGTTGGAGAAGATCTTTTTTACAGGGCCTCGCGCATGCTAGACAAGCACTCTACCACTAAGCTGTACCCCAACCCCGGACAAGACTTCTTTTAGTAAAATTTGGGATGAGACCAGTCCAATGAGAAGAAGCCAACTATGCAAAGATCTGATGTTTTGTCAGTAGAGCAAAACAACAAAATGTATTTATTTCTCAGTAAAGCATGCAAAGATTGTGCTTTGGAGAATATTTCATCTGCATATCTCCCATTCAACCCAGCCCATTGTGTCACTAGACTGTGAGCACATCATTGCCAAGAACTATGTATTATTCATCTTTGGGTCTCCAACATTATGCTCTGTACTTAACAGAGCAGGGTCTCAATAAATGTTGGAATGAATGAAAGCAATATATATTATGCTTATTAAAGCATCAAAAATCTTATTAAAGGCTGGGGGTATAGCTGAACAGTAGAACACTTGCCTACCATGTGCAAGGCCTTGGGCTCAACCCTAGAACCACAAAAAAGAAATTGTTTCTTTATAATTAATATATTATYATTATTGGTCTCTTCAATAGGTAATTTGTTTTCAATTGGAAAATAGAAATTCAAATCAAGTCACTTACCTATTGCTCTTGACAAACCTCCCAAATTTAGTAACTTAAAGTAATAACCATGTTATTGTATCTCATATTTTTGTGGGTTAGGAATTTTGGTTGTCCTCCGCTAAGTAACCAACAGATGCTCCATGTAGCATGATAAAGGGTCACTTGGTGCTATTTAATTGAAGGCTAAAATGGTTTAAGGTGCAAAAGGGAAAAATGGAARCCTAGGCTCAGATAGGTCCCTCTTCCTTTTCTTATTTTTTTGGTGGGGGCTGTCCTTATGTTCTCTTTAGCATGGTAGACTTCTTAATGTGCTGCTAACTTCTCTGAGAATGGAAACTTCAAGGGTTCTCTTCATCTAGCATTGAAAGTCACAGTTACACTCACCAACTCTACTCCTTATCAGTGAGCCACAAGGCCCTCCCACTTATAACAAGGGGAATAAACTATTAAACAAAATCTATAGGAAGCCATTTGTTGTAGTCAGCTTTTTCGTTGCCGTGACTAAAAGACCTGMCCCGCACCACTGTAGGGGAGGAAGTTTGTTTGAGGGCTCATGGTTTCAGAAGTCTCAGTCTATAAAAGGCTGGCTCCATTCTTCAGCTACACCCTACCACTTCAGTTACTGTTCAGTTAATCCCWATAGGGGATTAATTCACTTATTGGGTTAAGACTCTTACGACCCAATCATTTCTCCTCTGAACCTTCTTGCATTGTCTCACATGTGAGCCTTTGGGGGCACCTCACACCCAAACCATAACACCATTGTTTTGGATTGAGCTTCTGCACTAGGGTGGTATATGTCAGAATTACTACCTGTTACCTAAATGAAAGATTCTGTGCTATTGCTGACACTTCTTTTGCATATAAATACATGGGGATTGTACAAAACCAGTTGCAGAAATTAATGAACAGACTACTTTGTTAAAATGGGTAGACTCTTGGAGGGTTYGGTCGTGCACACCTGTAATCCCAGAGGCTCGGGAGACTGAGACAGGAGGATTATGAGTTCAAAGCCAGCCTCAGCAATGGTGAGATGCTTAGCAACTCAGTGAGACCCTGTCTCTAAATAAAATACAAAATAGGGCTGAGGATGTGGCTCAGTGGTCGAATGCCCCTGAGCTCAATCCCTGGTACCAAAAAAAAAATGGTGGGGGGGGCGGTAGACTCTTCATCCAGCTCTTTGATTTACTTGATTTTAGCTGGTTTGGTTCAGGGGGGTTGGGAGCAGATCCTGGCTCCTTAGCCAGAGGCATATTCTAAACTTTTGGTATAATTAATACTCTTTGTAGTCATAATATTAGACTTTCAACATGCTATATCCTCAAAGAAAGTTTTAAATTTTGTATACAGCTATCTGTTGGAGATCAAGTGATCTCTTTTGCAAAGAATGACAAAAAACTTAAAGAAATGGTAACTGAGAATAGCATCGATGCCCTAAGTTTTGGTCACACTCTCACTAGTCTTCAAGATATAAGACTGAAAATTAGAATGGAGTAACTCATGCTGAAGTTCTATGTCACTAAGATGAAACTTAAGCTTTTTATCTGATCTTCTGAGAAATCATAATTAGATAACAGCCAAATTTCCCAAACAGGCCAGTTGTAATTGGTATGATACCGAAGTTCCCTCTGCTTTAGTTCTTATAAGAAAAAAGTAACCTGAAATAACCTGATGTTAGTTATTTTGTTTCCCTATTCTACCTTACCAATAAAGTAACTTAAGTTACCAACCCAATTTTTTTGTTTGTTTTTGCTTTCTTCTGTCTAGCATGGTAGATTTTTTATGTGTCTATGTGTCTTCTCTATGTCTATAAAACTAACCTCTTTTGCTTAGCCTATGGGAACACTTGTTGTCTTTTATGGAATGAGATGTTACCTGATATAAAGTTGAAAACAAAGCCAATTAAGGAACTCAAACTAAAAAAAAGATTAAAAAAATATTAGTTGTTGCTGGATTCTTAATCATTATCTAGTTAAGGAAAATTGCCTCTAAAGGTAACAGTTTTCAAACAAATCAAGAAATAGGTTTGGGATTTTTAGCTTCTACCGAGGTTCAGATAATATTCCCCTTTTATGTTTGTATGCTGAGAATAAAATGGAGGTTGTTCCTTGCACATGCTAAGCAAGCACTGTATCACTGAGCTACACCTCCAGCCCAACACTTAAAATATTTTAAGACTATAGATCATTAGCCCCTATCTGCCTTCTCAACCTCATTTTATTTTTTTAATTTTATAAAGAAAAGTTTTATTTAGCTTACCTCAACTTCATTTATCAGTCTTTCCCCCATTCCTGTTACTTTGGCCACTGTGGTTTCCTTTCCATTCTTTTCTTTCTTTTGTCAGAGATGTGCTTGCCATTCCGACTAGAAACCTTAGCTCTTAACATGGTCATCTTCTTTTCATCCTGTTATTAACTCAAATATCATCTCCACGAATAGTCCTATTTTATCTAAAGGAGATCTTCTTCCAGCCCTCCCACCAGAGTGATCTTCCTATTTTTTTAACCAAATTCCACAATCTAAAATAATTTCATTTACTTATTTATCGTCTTCCTTGCTTCATTGGAACATCAACTCATCTAAACAAGGTCAGTGTTATAGTCACTGTTCGATGTTCAGTGAATAACATATAGCAAGTACTCAGTACTGTTGAATGAATGGATGGAGGCCAAGGGAAGAGGAAGCGTGATGTTCTGAGGGAGTTCAAATGATTGCACATGGCTGCAGTATAGTGATCCGAGTTGATACTGGAGAAGGAAGAAGTCACACCATTAAGCACTTCATATACCATTATTGGGAACTTATTTTTTATCCTGAAAACAAAAGCAAGCCATAAAGATCTTAAGTAACAGAATGGTATTACTAGATTTCATTTTTAAAAGTTCACTCTGGAGACGATGTAATGGATGGTTGTAGAGTCATTAAAGCCCAGGTAGAGATTTGTATGGAGGACATCACAGTGATCTAAGGAAGTAATCATGGGGCATGAGTATATAAACAAATGTAGAGGCAACAGAAATGAAGACAGAATGTAGACTCCCAAATATCTCACTTAGTTATAGTTGTGTTTTCATGTAGGAGCCTGTGGAAATACCTTTAAGCTATTCTTATGTTGCATTTAGATTTTTTTAAAACTTAGGTTTAGTCCACTGTTCACAGAGAACTCCATTTCTGGATGAAGTAAATGGACCAAGGCAGTGATTTTCAAATTTTGCCAATTATCAGGATCATCTTGTGGGCTTGTAAAATAAATTAAGGAGGGATTGGGAATAATGAAGAGCTGTAGAGACACCATAGTTTTTTAGAGATAGCTGGAGGCATCAAAGTAGGCTTTGGATATACAGAGTTTGAGAGTTCTAAGACAGGTTTAGATTTTGGATTTTCTGAGCAAAAGGCCTTACATGAAACCACATGGATAGAATGGATCATCTGATGAGAAAGTAGTCTAGAACACAATCTTGGTGAACAGTGACATTTAAGGGAAGGAAGAGAAAGAGAAGAAAGGAGAATGAGTGGCTAGAAGGAGGAAAAATAAGGACAAAGAGAAAAAAGTTTATAAGAGAGAGTGCTCAACGGTGAGCTCTGAGCCACAACCCCAGCCCCATGATAGTATATCTTATAATCTCCCATTGAAAGGAACCAAGGCAACTATCCAACTGTTCACAGTTAAGCGTTAAAATGATGCCATAAGAATGAGTAAATACACATAGCATTTATAATTTTCAGATACTTAAAAAACTGGCAAATATAAAATAAAGAACTAGGATTAAATAATTTATTTTAAAGAAACTTTTCCCATAAATGTTTCATCAATGTACATAATAACATTATATGTATTCACAATTGAAGTAGGAACACCTTCAAAACTACCATGAAAAATGAGAGAGAAATCTTTGAACAATTAAGGTTCTGTGCCCTAAAGAAATCTGGTTTATAAGATAGGAATGTTGATTACACAAATGGCTTAGTCAGGACTAAACCTTTTTTTTTTTTTCATATCTCCACATAAAAAGAAATATATTGAGTTTATACATTCTCCAGATGTAAAAATTGGTCCAGTTGACTAATCAAGCTAAATTCCTTTCTTCTTTTTTATTTTTATTTTTTTGGAGACAGGATTATGCTTTGTAGCCCAGGCTGTCCTCAAATTCCTTCATTCATGCAATTTGATCCTCTGGCCTCAGATTCCCCAAGTAGTTGGGACTATAGGTTATGCATCACTGTGCCTGACTCCCTGATTTTGTTAAACAGGAAAAAGGACACACAAAATTTATTACATGCCTAAGACAAAGTAGTATTAGACTCCAATAAAATGAAATTCTTTAACCCCATTTTCTATCTTTAAGTAACTACTATAAATCACTGATCAATGATGAATAAAGGTAGAATACTAATTCCATTCAATCAGTTTTTGAAATGTACTGTTTTGAGAAACAAGTCCTTTGGGCTAAAAAAATGAAAATTTTCTTTAAGGAACAAGTGCATTTTTAACAGATTCTGGAACTCGGCTCGCATAGTAGTCATAATTTCTCAGTGTAGCCAGGACCCCTGCGGAGTTCATATGCTTCACTTCCTTATTGTACTGAAGGGCATTTCCATGGATATCAGTTAACTTGCCTACAGAAAAAAAACAGCAATACAATGTTAACAGATGATTGGATCATGATACTTAGAGAATTTTTTTTTGGGGGGGGGGAAGCGTTAAGCATTGAACTCAGGGCCTGGCATATGCTAGATATATACTCTACCACTGAGCTACATTCCCAAGCCCCTCTAGTTTATTTATTTTTCCCTTGAAATACTGAAGACAGAACTCCAGGTGTGCCAGGTAAGCACCCTACCACTGAAGTACCTCCCCAGCCCTTTTTAAAATTTTTATTTTGAGACAGGCTAAGTAGCACATGCTGGCCTTGAATTTGCCATTCTCCTGCCTCAGCTTCTTGAGCTGCTGGGACTACAGGCATGCTCCACCACACAGAGCAAATGTGAAATTTTTTCCTTTTCTTTAAACATTTTTATTTTTTTTAGTTGTAAATGTACATAATACCTTTATTTTATTTTATTTATTTATTTTTATGTGGTGCTAAGGATCGAACCCAGAGCCTCCCATGTGCATGGCAAATGCTGTACCACTGGGCTACAACCCTAGACCAAAGGTAAAGTTTTTAATTTAATTTGTGACTATAGAGCAATTTTAACTAAAAAGATTAAAAATATTTTTCTTGGGGCTGGGGATGTGGCTCAAGCGGTAGCGCGCTTGCCTGTCATGTGTGCGGCCTGGGTTCGATCCTCAGCACCACATATAAACGAAGATGTTGTGTCCGCCAAATACTAAAAAATAAATATTAAAATTCTCTCTCTCCCTCTCTCTCACTCTTAAAAAAATATTTTTCTTTAAGATCAAAATTTCATTTAGTATTTTCAACTTGTATTTCTTTTTTCACTTTATATTTTTTCTGGAGTTGGGGATTGAACCTAGGTGTTCACACATGCTAAATATGAACTCTACCACTAAGCTATACCTCCTCCCTCAAGTTTTATATATATATATATAAATGTGTGTGTATGTATTTATATTTGGTATTAAGGATTGAACCCAGGGGCATTTAGCCACTAATCCACACCCCAGCCCTTTTTATTTTTTGAGACAGGATCTAGCTAAATTGCTCAGGGTCTTGCTAAATCACTGAGGCTAGCTTTGAATTTGAGATTCTCTTGCCTCAGCCTCCCAAGCCACTGGGATTATAGGTATGTGCCACCATGCCTGGCCAAAATTCTATTTCTTGATTAATTTCTCTTCTCAAGTGATTATTTTTCCTATTGTTATACTCCATTACCACATTCACATTTGTGAAAATGTTTTCATCCTACTATTTATTATTTATGCTTTATCTGATGAAAGTTTAGGTGCAGGATTAATATAATACAATTGTATTTTATGAAAAGTTTCATTTTGCATTCTAAATGTATGGACCAAAACAAAGTACTATTTATTTATTTATTTATTTTTGGACAAAGTTCAATTTAACTTCATCACATGTTAATACTGTATGGATAAAGTAATATATTAGGAGAAACGACAGAATAAAATATTTGCTTATTGTCATTTAAAAAAAAATCTGACAGGGTTTTTGTTTGTTTGTTTGTTTGTGGTGCTGGGGATGGAACCCAGGTCCTCACACATGCTAAGCACATGTTCTACTATTAGCTACACCTCCAGTCTCAGACAAGGACTTATTTTTATTTGTTTATTTATTCAAAGGCAGGTTCTCACTATATTGCCCAAGCTGGCCTTGAGCTGGAGACCCTCCTGCCTTAGTCTCCCGAGTACAGGGATTATAGGAGTACATTAACATGCTTTGTTCCTGACAGGAATTTTCAAATGCACTGCTTACTTCTGATGTTTATTTGAAATTGAAAAAAAATCATCTCACTGTGTATATATTTGTAATATATTTTCAGTAAGATTTTTAAAAATTCTGTGATATTTAGAACTGGTACTGAGATATTCACCATTTATAGCTTAAGATAAACTAAGTGAGGTCTTGTCATAATGATGAACACATTATTTTTCAAGGGAAGAAAGCATTAAAACCACAAGATTAGGGTTAAATTAACTGTATGAAGATCCAAGTCTGCAAAAGAGACAATAAATTCCAGAATAATAAATTTGCTGAACATCTACTTACTCATCTACGAATTAGGTTTTGGACTGGATAATCTCTAAGTTTCCCTCTAGCTCTTATATCCTAAGAGTCTAGGTAAAGTAATATTATTAAAATATCATGTTTCAGCATAATATAAAAACTAGAATTCTCCAAAATAAAACAGACTAACCTCCCACAGCATGTAAGATAACTTCGGGAGCACAAGTGTCCCATTTCTTACATCCAGGGCTTGCAAATACATAAGCAGAAGCTTTGCCTTCGATCAGCTGAATGATCTGTGAGGTTAAAAATAACAATTATCCCTCAAGCATGAAATGACTGAGATACAAATAAGAAAGACTTCTTTCTTCTATCAAGGATACTTCATCAATTCCCTTGTTGGACTGAGGTTAAAGTCTTTAGCAGGCTTAAATGACACAAGTATTATGAGGAAGTATGATAATATTATCATAGATATATGATAATATATGACAATCTGAAGGGGGAAAACCAATCATAAAAGCTACAGACAGACCATCTGAACAATCTCCATATTTCAAGTTAGAGAAAATAAACTTTTCTTTATATTCAATGTTTTTTCTTTCTTACTAGAAAAGCAATATATATCATTAAAAATATAAAATTTTTTAAAACATCTAAAAATTGACCATGATTAAGTAAAGGATAAAGAAATATCAAGCAGTACCATAATGCAAAAATTGTAGTAAGGTCTAACAGATGTGCAGTGTTCACTAGTCTAACAAGTACTTTCACAGGTCTTCAGGATCAAACATGTTGCTATTTCCATTACCAAAACACAAACTTGTAAGTAGTTATTCCAATATTTCCTAAAATGCACATATAAAACTGAGGTTGCTGATAACTTTCACAACTCTAAAYGGCAATTTGCTATCAAGTTAATTGTCTTTTTTGGTTACTCTGTAAAATAATTATTACTAAAAAAATCAGACTTCAAATATTCAGATAAAGGACCAGACTGAGGACCAGAATGAGGAAAATCTCAGTGGACACAAGAGTACCAAATGTCTTTCAGAACTGTTTATGAATACCTTCACACATTTCAACTAGTTGCAGGCTTTTGAGTAAAAGGTTTTCTTTCATTCAACAAATGTTGCAAGACTAACATTATAGATTAAGTCTAACATTATATATACCAGTTTGTTTGTTTTTTGATAGGAGAGGGCTATAGCTTTCCTTAAATTCTCTTAATGTAAAAAAGTTGAGAACTGCCCAACAAGATTCCCCCCTCCCCCCACAGGAGAAAGGTAGAGATATGCAGGATGAGAAATTGATGCTTCTTAGAAGAAAGGTGCTCCTTGGGAATAAAAGAGATGATGGGCTTTGGTGATTACAAAAGTTAGGGGCAAAGGGGAAASATATTTGTCGTTATTTATTCAGTGAATATGGGGAATATATTTTCACTTTGAGCATTGCTTCTAAAGCACAGGCAAAAAAAATGAATTCCATTCAGTTCAATAAATATTATTTGCCTTTCCTGTGTTATGTACACATGTGTGAAATGCACACACTATTGCTTAAGTAATGTAGTTCAGTATCATTAGAGCTGATGTATGAATTGTAGGATGACATGAGATGAGGCTCGGGATGTACAGGAGCCAGGAAATAGCAGGCTTTCACTCTGTTATTAAGTTTGGATCTTAACTGTTGTGATGGGGAACCATCTAAGCATTTGGGACAGGGAGAAGTTTTGCATTTTTAAATTGCTCCAGTAGCATTTATAAAGAATAGATTGAACAGAGATCACTCAGGGAGCTATTATAGCAGCTCTTGTGATGACGAGAGATTTCAACTACGGTGCTGGCAGCTGAGAGGACAAGACAAGACAAGACAGTAGGGAAGAATTGTATGGATAGTATAGAAGGAAGAAATCTGGGATGACTTTCCCAGTGTCTGGGTAAAGCAATCAGGAAAATGATGGTGGCATTAACCAGACTGCAAATAAGGAGAGGAGCATATCTGGGTGCGGTTAAAAAGAGAATAAGGTGAAATTGGACATGTTGAATTCAAGATACCTGAGGGATATCATGATGATATCCAGGGATAATCAGATGAGAAGAGATCAGGGCTAACAATGTAGGTCAAACTGTGTCCCATTTCACAATTCTCTCAGAAGGTTGGAAGCCTAGAGTGAAAGAATGGGGAAGTAGACAGGAAGGGCACAGACAAGAATGTCCCTAGGGTCGGCAGAAGAAAGGTCTAGGAAATCATCAAGGAGGGTCCTTGGTAAGAGTCATGGGTTCCTATATATCACTTAATAATCCTGGACTCTGAGATGAAAAAGACTTGAACCTAAAATCTTTAAAAATGTAAATGTTGCTGAATGTGCTTTTAGTGGCAAATTATAATCTTTAATCCCTTCTCTTTAAACTCTTTTTCACATGTTAAAAGAATTCAGTATTTCCATCAATGATTCAGTTGAATTCCAGAGCAGATGACAGATCTTTTTCATACCTTATTTCCTGCTCCTCCTACTCGCAGCACATCATCAGGGTTCATAGCAGAAACACAGTCTGTAACCAACTTGTTGCTATGGGATCTGGTAGTTGTGATAATGTGTTTCCCGGCAGGGACTTCTTTCAGCTGAAACCCAAAGGCACCTAAACCTAAAACTCCCCAGATTGTCCTCCCCAACACAGCATCTGGTCCTGCCTATGTAAATGAGTGAAAAAACAACAAATCTTATAGTCATTTGGAGAAACACATTAGTCATAAATGAAATATTTAGTTACATTTAATTAAGGTTAGAATATTTAGAATATAGGATATTTCATTATAAAAAAGAAACACAATTAATGTGATAAAGTACAACAATATCATTGACAAAAAAATTTTCCTGACATAATGTGCTGGTTATTCCTAATGTTGTTTTGGTTAACAGTTTCAAAGTACTAGGGAACTTCTGGTTATTCCCTGAGTCTTCAGGAAAGGAAACATCACATACTGATTACTCTCTCTGAATCATCCAAAGATCTTTTGGCTGTATTGGAAATACCTGTTTTCAAAAGGTACTGAAGTCTTCCGGAAAATAAACACTATGTATTGATTATGTATTGACTACTACTATTCAGTATTCAAGAAACAGTAAGGATCATGTTACTCTGGCGAGAATGGATTTTGCTACTATAGAGAAAGCAACTGAATAGGCTGATACTGAAGAACAGCCATAGATAATGGGGTCAGGGTTAAGATTTTACTGACAATTATACTGGTAAAATGACAAATATAATGCAGTCTTAGAATTCATATTTTCCTTTGCAGAGCTCAAACAATTTTCAACTACAATGTTAAAARGTATACATTTCACATGAAAAACATAACCTGCATTACATGGAAAGTAAAACTGATATATAAAATAATTAATCCAAAGTTATTAAAATATGATACTAGGATTGGGGTTGTAGCTCAGTGATAGAGCACTTGCCTAGCATGAGTGAGGCCCAGGGTTGGATCCCCAGCACCACATAAAACTAAATAAGCAAAATAAAGGTATTATGTCCATCTACAACTAAAAATATTTTTWAAAAATGATACTAGTATAGTAGATATACATTACAGAAATTGTATCTTAATCAACATGAAGCATGTACCAGGCACCACACTAAATTYGTAACAGGTATTATCTCATCCAAGCCTCAAAGCAACCCTATGAACTTGGTATTATTATACTTATTTTAAGGATAGAAAAGAGATTGGGAATCATTAAGTAATTTGACTGTGGACTCTAGGAAGTTCATGATCAAAGTGAACTCATAATCAAACTGAATTCATCTGTCTCATCTGTGCTTTTTTTCTTTTCTTTTTTGAGAAAGGGTCCTGCTATGTTATATTACTCAGGCTGCTCTTGAACTCCTGAGCTCATATGATCCTTCTGCCTCAGGTTCCTCCCAGGTAACTGGACTACAGGCACATGCTACTGAACTAATCAGAGCTGGTGATATTCACTACATTATACTGTCTGGGTTTACTCATCACAAGTGTTTTCATATGTATCATCTTATTTGTCCTAAAGCAGTACATGGGGTGTTGTTAGAGTAAAATAAATTTATTATACACCATGGGTTCTTTGGGAAGTGAATTCCAAGTTGGATAAATGTCAAGGTGGGTTCGTAGGAACAATACCTGTAGAAAGAAGCAGGTATGTGCAGATGGCAAAAAGCGAGCTATAGGGCTGGGGATATAGCTCAGTTGGTAGAGTGCTTGCCTTGCATTCACAAGGCCCTGGGTTCAATCCCCAGCACCACAACAAAACAAAACMAAACCAAAAGTGAGCTATGCTGCAGCCCAACAATATCTTCCGCAAACCCTGTGGAAAGCTCTGGAGCTAGAATAGTTCTTCAGGGCTGCCCCAAATTGGAATGAAATTCTAGGCCTTTATACTCCTGCAGTGACCATTTCTGGTCCTTGGAAATGAACTGCCTTGGGAACAGATAAGATGCTGGAAGGGTGAGGCAATCTCCAAAGAGGCTGACTTTTGACAGTGCTCTCTGCAATGGGGCAACAAAGGAACCAATAAAGAAGTACTGGTGCTCAATATGTGTGTGTATGCATCTGCTGTTCCCTCTTGAGCCTACACTGCAGGAGGGGCTTGGCATGTGAAAAGTACACATGGACCCTGTGGTGGCTCTTGGTACCCATTAAGCTTTAGCTTGCTCATTGAGATTAATTCTGTGCCTAGCTAGACACAAATATTCTGCTCCCTAAAAAGTCATACTACTGCTATCAATGAATATGCAGACAAAGAGGTTGGGTACAAAGAAACTGGTGACCTAGTGAAATTCATGCAGTCCATGATGCAGCCAGTTGGCCTTCCTCTGAGCTCCTGCTCTCACAGTTTCTCATTAACTCTTTCCTTCAAAGTCCCCACACTAATTTTCAGAGGGTAATAAAGGGTGGCATTTCACCTCACAGATGAGTTAAGATTCATAATGGTTAAGAAGCTAGCTCTGACAAAAGATTGACTGGGTATCTTTGCACCATGCCATGCTGCTCCCGTTACATGCCTATTGGCTTTAGTGCCTGTTGAAGCATAATAAAGTTTGAATTAAGTCTTTCATCTAGCTTAAGAAAGCAATATGAAATATTAGTAAGGCTTGGACCTGTCTTTGAAAACCAGCTCTGCCATTTACCAATTAGATGACAGTGGTAAGGTAATTGCTTCAGTTTTCTCTTCCTTAAAGGGTTGCAGCGAGTATTAAAAGAGATAAGGCTTGAGCCTCGCAGCATACTGTAAGCCCTTAAGCTCTTGATAAATTCAGCTATTATGACAATGATTATATAAAATGGAATATTCAGCCTTGAATACCATCAACATGGCTGAACAACTTTTCAACTTCCATTTGTTGCAGCAAATGTTAAAGCATATGCAAACAAGAAGAAAAAGAGGACAGAGTGTAAGAAGGGAATGTGGCAAGGGGAGAGGTAAGGAATAGAAGATGCTGAACAGGAGAAAATGAACTGGTACATGGGATATACAATAACTACCTACGGGACCAGAGTGCCTATCTCTTTTCTACCTTCTAGTGAAACCAAAACCCTAACTATTTTTCTCACCTTTGCTTCATTCCTGTGTTCCCTTAACTTCTGCTTTTCATTGTTCTGTGGAAAATGAATACAATTTTCGAATCTCAGAAAGAAGGGATAAAAATTAACAATTCCTAAGCATTTAGCTCTTTATTTTTGATGAAAGATTCCATGCATTATAAGGTTTTCTATGAATTAAAGGCCCCTCTTTTAAGTAACAGTATTGACTTAAAGTTTATATAAAAATAACAAGCCATATCTGCATATAATACTGTATAAATATTAAAGCCATATTATAAGAAATTAATGGACACATAATCAATTCAGTGAGAGGCTTAAATTATTTTGGTATGTTCTAAGAAATGCATGATTATAAATCAAATTTATACAAATAGCAGGAAAAAACAAATTCATATTAGAAGTAAAGATTGATCCTGCTCTTAAATCAGAAATTCAGAAGTAATAGTACCCAGTCTGATTACTTTGTTTCCTCAAAGTTCTATCAAGGTCACATTTAATACCTTATTTTATCTCAATAATTTCCTTTAAGATGTAAAGTGATTTAATGATAAATTTTTGGTTTGAAATTAAACTAGTTTCTTGTTTCTAAGGAAGACAATTTCTTTGGAGTGTACTAGAAAGTCAAAAGCAGATTAAAGAGATGAAATAAGAGAAAAAGAGTGCAAGAACACATTCAGTTGTTGTCAATGTTGACTGTTATTTAGGCACATATTACTTAGAAAGCACATATTACTTAGAAAGCAATGTGGCTAGCATCTTTTCTAGGTTGAAATGCTTCATTTCTTTAATAGGCTTCAAGAGACCTGTAAGTCAGGTGTCTTGATGACCACAATAATCAAGAACTATATCAGTAATTCTCAAACTTCTGCACTTGAATCACAAGTACATAAAAAATATAATGCATATAGTATGTCTGTGTATACATATATACATATTTATACATTCCTGGTACCAATGCCCCCAGAGGTTAGGGTATGACCTGGGAAATCTGTACTTTAAAAAGTTCCCCAGATGACTGCCTATGCAACCAAGCTAGAAACCACTGGATTAAATGACATCTGGAATCATAACTCTCTATTTATGTAATACAATATTTCTGTATCACTTATAGTTATACCTGGTAGTTGTAATATGGTTGGTTAATAATGCCTGCTATGGCTTTTCCTTCATAGGCAATTCCAATAAGAACCGTTACATTGTCAAGAAGACCTATAAAAAAGAAGTATCAGTCATATCTTTCTCATGTTATGACTCATCATCAATACATCAATTGCTGCAAGTTATTTTTCAGTAAAGATAAGGAATGTGCAATGACTTCCATTATCAATCCTATTTATGGCAAAATGCACTAATTATAAGATAGCTGGCCAGTGATGGAAATAGGGTCTATGGACATTTAACTGAATTGATAACTATGTCTCATTAGTACAATTTGTAAAACAATTAAATGAAGCAGCCACAACTCCACAGCCATTATCATTAGATTCCTCTATCCTTCTTCCACCATTATTCAACTCATTCTTACCTGATGAATCACTGTGTACTCCTAAATTATTCTCTAGACTTCCATTTCAAACCTCTAAAGCAAGGTTTCCTAAAGAGGGGGTCCATAGACTATCAAGCAGTTCTATAATTAACTGATATAATTTTTACAATACGATTCTCAAGCCTTTTCCCAGAGGTATCGAGTGAATCAAAATTTGGGAGGTGGGAATCAAGACTTAAATAACTTTCTACATTCTCTTATACACATTAAAGCTGTATAATAATAGAAATAAGTGCTTCCTTATTTCCCAAAGGATSATAGAGATGTTTCAGTACAAAAACACTGCTTGATTCATTCATCACAGACATGTTTCATCCAAGAATGAAGGTTTTTTTTTCTTGTAATCAAGAAAATTTTTCTTTTTTTAAACCATGAGCTGAGAACCAATGTAAGAAAAGCTATGTAAAGCTCTACTTCAAAAATAAAACTCTAATCTGCTAAAGCCTACAACTCTGGCTCTAAGCCTAGTCCTTCTTACTTTGATGTTGCCAATTTTATTTTCAGTTTGCTGCTTTCTAATTTTTCTCATCTTTGAAACCTTCAGAAGAAGGGAGCATGAACAAGATGTATATGGGATAGTGGTGGTAGTAGAACAAGGACAGCAGAGCTGAATTTGTTATCATTTTCTACCCCAATAAAGCTGGGGATTCATTATAGTTCCTTTGGTAACACTGGTCTAATGTGATAGATATTCTCATCTGGGAGACATTCAGGCTTGTGGGGCTGGTAGATAATGGCACAGTAGTATTTGAAGGAGATGAATTTCTCTCTCTCTCAGCACTGATCCCAACTCTCCTTTTGTCTTAATAATCATTGATGTGTGATAAAAATTAGCTACCACGAGCGGCTTTTCATGTAATATACAAAATATAATATTATATCCTAGTCTTACTGCTGTGAAATACAGAAAGAAAATACCAACCTTCAGTATATTCCTTGGTACCATCCAGAGGATCAACCCAAACCACAAGCTTAAAAAAAAAAAAAAARGRAAAAAATACATATAAATGAAGTATACAAAATTCCAAAAAAAGATTGAAACTACTCATTTTACATTTTTGAAATTATATTAGGGAAAGCTTAAGTCAATATCAGTGTTAGGATAGTGACAAAAAAAATCTAAAGATTTTGGAATGATGCCGGGTGTGGTGGCACACACCTGTAATTCCAGCTGCTTGGGAGGTTGAGACAGGAGAATCACGAGTTCAAAGGCAGCCTCAGCAACTGTGAGGCGCAAAGCAACTCAGTGAGACCTTGTCTCTAAATAACATAAAAAATAGGGTTGGGGATGTAGCTCAGTGGTTAAGCGCCCATGAGTTCAATACCCAGTACCACCAAAAAAAAAAAAAAAAAAAATTTTGGAATCATGGAAGAAGTCCATTTAAACTGSAGAAAAGTCTGATTCAAGAATCTATAATACTAAATAATTAACTGCAAAATTACTGTCACTTGAACAATGCCATGAACACTGACAGGTGGTACAGTAAAAACACTCAAAGTGGCACCAAAAATGTTTTGAACAATGTGTGGGTGCTATTCAGTTTTTTTAGTTTTCTTCTTCTTTTTTTTTGTGGTGTTGGGGATTGAACCCAGGGTCTTATGTATGCTAGGCAAGCACTCTACCAACTGAGCTATATCCCCAGCCCATTTTTTTTCTTATTTTTTCTCCCAGTAATCCCAAACTGCTGGGATTATAGTGCTAAGGATTGAACCCAGAGCCTCGCTCTACCCTTGAGCATTTCGCTCTGCCCTATTTTTAACACCCCCACATCCCATGCTGGGGATCGAACCCAGGCAAGCACTCTATCACTGCTACTCRTTTTTATATATAAATGCTGATTATTTTTTAAAGACAGTCTGATTACTTTAAGGACACATTCATATAGACCAAAGAAAAATAAATAGTTCATAGAGCTGGCAATAAAATAAAGGCTTAATGTTTATGATTTTCATCATTTAGGATATGCTGCCATTTACTACTAGAATTCTAACACTTGATGTGAATTTGTGATAGGCAGCATGTTTCTTTCTTTCTTTGGTGCTGGAGATTGAACCTACTGTCAGTCACTTAGCCACTGAGTTACATTCCTAGCCCTTTATTATTTTTTGAGACAGATCTCACTAATTTGCCTAGGGCCTCACTTTGCTGAGACTGGCTTTGAGCTTGTGATCCTCCTGCCTYAGCCTCCCAAGCTGCTGGGATTGCAGGTGTGTGCCACTACACCTGGCTTGAGATGGCATATTTCTGATGGAAGACACCATGTTTCATTTTCTTTGTATCTTCCACAGCCCAAAGCAAATTGCCTTACCTAGGTGTTCAATAAACATGTTTAAAATGATTTAAAATTAGAAAACTAAAGAAGTGTGTTTAAATCTGAGGTCACAGATTAATTTAATTTAAACAACCATAAAAAGAAAGATGAAGGGCTAGGGCTGTAGCTCAGTGGTGAAGCGCTTGCCTGGCACCTGTGATGCACTGGGTTCGATCCTCAGCACCGCATAAAAATAAATAAGTTAAACAAAGGTATTATGTCCATCTACAACTAAAAAAAAAATTTTTTTTAAAAAAGAAAGTAAGATGATTTTTATGGCCTTATAACATAAGGTAGTAATTGTTTCGTCTTCTTCCAGCACCAATAACCAGTGAAATGTTTTGCTACTAAATTTAATAAATAACAAATAAGATTTTTTCTATGTTATTTATTTATTTATTTCTGTAATATTGGGTATTAAATATGGAGCTCATGCATGCCAGGCAAGTGCTCTATCACTGAACTGTATCCCAGGCTCTTTCTGTTTTTTGTTTTGAAACCAGGTCTTGCTAACTTGTTCAGGTGGCCTTGAACTTGCAATCCTCCTGCCTCAGCTTCCTAAATTGCTGGGATTACATGTATGTCACCTTACCCAGCCTGAAAGTATTTTTTTTTWAACTTTATTTTATTTGTTTATATTTTTATGTGGTGCTGAGGATTGAACCCAGTGCCTCACACATACCAGGCAAGCACTCTACCACTGAGCCACAACTCCAGCCCCTGAAAGTATTTTTAATCATTATCTCAAATGAGGCATGGTGGTGTGCACCTGTAATGCCAGCAACTCAGGAAGCAGGAGGATTGTGAGTTTGAGACCACCCTAGGCAAATATAATACTCTTGTTTCAGAGTAAAAAGGAGACATAGAAAAAGAAATTAAAAAGGTCAGATATTTCATATGATTGCCTGTTAACTTCTACTTTGGCTCTGAAAGATTTCAAGTTCCTTCTTATTCCTATTTTATAACTACTAAATTTTTATCTCACATGCAAATTTTATTTCCTTGACCATGGCAAGAAACACTAATACAGTGTTTCACTTTATACACTCTAAAGTATTGATATAGCCTTACGTCTTCCTCTTTAATAGCACTGTACTGTGATGGGCATGGTTGCTTCAATATTTCCTCCCACTGACCATCTTCAATCAGCTCTTGATCCACTTCTTCAGGAGGGAGATCCTGCAGCAGAGATAACATTAATAGTTACTGAAATTGTTTAATGTTCACTCTCAGTAACAAAAGAAATGCAGTGTCACAATTTTTACTAGTCTTTCTGTTTACCATTATATTTAGATCTTTTAAAGCAAACCCATGGTGCTGGAGATGTAGCTCAGTAGTATAGCACTCACCTAGAATGCTTAAGGTCCTAGGCTCAATCCCTAGCACTGAAAAAACAAATCAAATTTAATAGAAAACATGTTTCTCAAAGTCAATTAAATGGTCTCAAGTTCATTATACTGAATAGGGTTTAAAAGAGAAGATATTTTAACAAACTTATTTTTTTTTTAAATGTATTCTTTCTCAATTATAAGAGATTTCAATTTGTTCACTTTCAAAGTGTTATGGTCTTTGGATAAGTGTGGAAGGAGGCCTAATTAAAAAACAAAAAAAACAAAACAAAACAAAAAAAAAACATCGTATTTCTAAGTTCTAGAACTTTGCTCATCTTTTTTATCTTTGGGTCTGAACTCAGGGCTTCAAGCATTCTAGGCAAATACTATACCCCTGAGATCTACTCATCTTTAGTTTATATGCTGAGTATTTTAACAGTAACTATGTCTTCTATAACTAAGAATTGAGATACCTGGCCTAAATATGGACCAAAATGTTTTTCTGTGGTACTGAGTATTGAACTCAGATGTGCTTTACTACTGAGCTACATCCCCAACCCTTTGTATTTATTTTTTATTTTGAGACAGTATCTCACTAAGTTGCTAAAGGCCTTGCTTGCTTGACGAGGCTGGCCTCAAACTTGCAATCCTCCTGCCTCAGCCTCCTGAGTTGCTGGGATTACAGGCATGTGACACTACACCCAGCAATCAAAATGTTTTAAGATCAGATCCTCCTTCCAAAGGACAGAATAATTACTTCTGTATTAAAGCACTAGATATAATGCTTAAATTTGAATAGTGATATATAAACCAATGARGTGTCACTTACAAATCCATATGGTAAACACAGATTAAAAATATATCATGTCCCTGACAACTCTTACCTCTTCCCCTATAATTGTTAGYTTGGGGAATTTCCGTGCCAGTGAAGAACATATGCTCATCTGTACTAGTCGGTCAGCTTTAGTCTGCAGGTCTGTTGCAGAGGTCTGTAACAAAAAATGCAAACTTTAGCAGAACTAATGTAAAATAAATTGTCCTCTAATTCCTAAATGCATGTCTTTGTAATGTATAGTGTACTGTCAATTTTTTTTTTTTTTGAGAGAGAGAGAGAGAGGAGAGAGAGAATTTTTAATATTTATTTTTTAGTTTTCAGAGGACACACCATCTTTGTTTGTATGTGGTGCTGAGGATCAAACCCGGGCCGCACACATGCCAGGCGAGTGCGATACCGCTTGAGCCACATCCCCAGCCCAGTACTGTCAATTTTTAGAAATGCAGAACTTAACACCAAATGAATCAACTAGTTTCTTGGCTTGTTGTTTCTCATAGGATTAATAGTGGTAAACTGTGGAAGTAAATTTTTTTCAGTGCTAGGGAACAAACCTGGAGCCTCAGACATGCTACCCATGCGCTGTACTTCTGGGCTACATCTCCAGCCCAATAGTATGTAAAGTTTGGAAAGGTATTTTTAAAATATTTTGAAAATTCAGAAATTTCTTTTATAAGATCTCTAGATGGCCAGACATGATATTGCATGCTTATAATCTCTATGTTTAGAGAGGCTGAGGCAGGAGGATTGCAAGTTTGAAGCCAGCTTAGGCAATTTGATAATACCTGTCTCAAAAACTAAAAAGGGTCTGAGAATGTAGCTCAGTGGTACACTCGTGGGTTTAAGCTACAGTAGTTGAGGTGGTGGTGAGTTGACAGATCGCCAGATATCAAGCTTTGGCTTAAACAGATTAAAAATAGGAAACTTAGTGCTGGAGTTATGGCTCAGTGGTAAAGCACTTGCCTAGCATGCATGAGGCACTGGGTTTGTTCCCCAGCACCAAATAAAAAACTAAATAAACAAAATAGAGGTCCTGTGTCCAGCTACAACAAAAAGTATTTAAAAAAAAAAAGATAGGAAACTTATAACATTTCAAAGCCAAGTTAAATACTATATATTTTAATACTGGGAAGGTGTTCCTTACAGGGATTTTTTTCAATGACTGCCCCTCAGATTTACTAGTGTACACAATTCTTTCTTATTTCTAAAATCTAAAATGAACTCTAGTAGTATTTAATATATGGCCTACCTATGGTACCTTACTCAATCCATAGGTCAGAAAGTTATACTAGTGAAAGGCAGTGGAAAATTTTGCAATTGACTCCACAATCTCCTTTGTTAAGTTTGCTTTTGGAGAATTATGGCATGCTGTAATTTATATAACACTGGTTAGACAGATTTACTGATCATCTTGAACAGAATCTTTAAACTTCTTTGCAATGACCTAACAAGTGACGGTGAATATAACTTTTATGACACATTGAGATTTGCTGGTTATCTCAATGCAAAGTATTATTCTACTAGAATATGAACCCACAAAGAGGTTTCATTCTCTAAAGAACTATGCTAGGCAACGGTAGGTACTTTATAAACGAAACTACTTAAATGAATTGTTGGGTTTGGAGATTAATTATATATCGATTGAGTCTGAAGACCACTGCTGGAGAGAGTGAGTGGGGGGAGGGAGAGACAGAGAGAGAGAGAGAGAGGAGACACACTGACAGCCCTGCATTCAATTATCTGGGAAAATATATCCCAATTCTTTTCTTCTCTAAGATAAATATTTCCTGGTCTATCAACATAATGCTGTACCTCATCATTGTGAATACCTTGTACCTGATTTCACCTTTGTTTCTCTTAAAATAAGGTGTCAAACAGGTGAACATAAACATAAAGTATTAGAAATGACAGTACTGAGGATAATGAGATTTTTTTTTTTTTTCCAATCTTGGACACTGTACTTCTAGTATTCCTTAGCTTCAGGATACAAAGTTATACAACATAAAACCAATTTAAACAAAATAAATGATGCTGAAGAAGGAAACAAAATAAATGATAATCTAGAAGGAAATGAACCAGAATATTGGCAATGGTTATATGATGGATGGTCTCTTTATTGCTTGGTATTTTTCTCAATTTCCTATTTTTAATAGGAAAAAAAAACCCCACCAAATGAAAACAGTAAGATGAGAAGTCTTCTGAATGCAGCTGTGTACATTGTATGTGGCAACAAAAACCTTTTTTCCAAACAAATTTGAATCAGATTTACCCCATATTACTTCAACATAAATATAAAATTTTATAATTATTGCTGTTACAATACGTTGTTGGATTTGGCCCTCTTTTCTCAGAAGTCACAACTACTTTGAATACTTATCATGGGATCCAATACATCAACCAGCCCTTCCAGTGTCATTTTATTGACAAATTTGGTAAGTGTGTTTTCTATAGTGGCCTCTTCCAAAGTTTTGAGAAGATACATTCAATAAAATTTTACTGGCTGAGCATAGTGGCATACACCTGTAATTCCAGGGACTTGGGAAGTTGAGGCAGGAAGATTACAACTTTGAAGCCAGCCTGTGCTACTTAGAGAGACCCTATCTCTAACTAAAAAGAACTGGGAAGGTAGCTCAGTGGTGGTGTCCCTGGATTCAATTCCCAGTAAACTGTAATTGAGTGATTAAAGAGAATGGGACAGTGTCAGGAGCAATCCTGCATCCTGCCAGCAAGGATACTTTTCCGGGCTGAAAATGAATCAAGAATTAAAATTGTAGGGTAATGTTATTTGCCTATTTATGAATATACCTAATGGTGATTTATGATGGGGAATGGGAGACATCATCTATTATTAATAACTTGAATCTTCTAAAATAGACAATGGAACCTGTAACAAGTATTTCCCTGAAATCATGATACCGTATATTTGGGTCTGTATGGTCTGGTCCATAAACATATCAAAAAAAGGAAATGGACTTATTTCACTTATTGAAGTGAACATTCTACCTCTGAACTACATCCACAGACTTTTTTGTTTTTTATTTTGAGACAGGGTCTTGCTAAATTGTCACGGCTGGCCTCAAACTTGCATTCTTCTGTTTCAGCTTCCCCAGTAAATGGGACTGTAGGTGTGTGGCATTGTACCTGGCCATATTTCAACTTATTTCTAAGTTGCTTTTCTTTTTTAATTTTTTTTTTTAGTTGTAGATGGACAGCATGTCTTTATTTTATTTTTATGTGGTGCTGAGGATTGAACCCAGTGCCTCATACGTGCTGGGCAAACTCTTACCACTGAGCTACAGCCCCTGCCCTTTAAGTTGGTTTTTATTCATACATATGGCTCTCTCTTCAGTGCAAGGAATAGAACCCAGGGCCTTGCACATGCTAGGTAAGCACTTGCTATTGAGATACATCCCCAGTCCCTCATTTGTTGCAGTCCCTCATTTGTTGTTATTGTTTTTTAAATAATATCAGCTATACATAGATGCCTGACTTATCCTAAATGAGTATCTTAATTATAACTTATTTCTATGATTCTATTAAAGCATTGTTGTTTTGAAATGGGGGTCTTTCTATGTTGCCCAGACTAGTCTAAAATTTATGGGCTACAGCAATTCTCCTGCCTCAGCCTCCCAAGTAGCTGGAACTACAGGCATGTTCCACCACATCCAGCTTTTAAAATACTAATGGAAAATTACATTCTTTTTTTTTTTTTTTGCAAATTACATTCTTTGATTTTTTTCAATTATAACACAATCTTTCTTAAAGATGACGCTAAACGTTTAAAGAGAAAAGACAGCATACAAAAACTTATATTTAAGATACATAATGTGAACTAATAATTAAGTCTTGTGGCATATTTCAAACTGGAACTCATACATGGTAGTATTTCCCTTACAAACCGAATATTACTATAAAATTTCTAATAATTTTTCTAAGTTTAAAATTATCTAGTAAAAAGAAAAGCTTTGGTTTCTTTCTTTCATATTTTTTTGGTACTGGAGATTGAATCCAGGGGTCCTCTACCTCTGAGCTAYGTTCCCAGTCACCCTTTATTTTAAGACAGAGTCTCACTAAGTTGCCAGGCTGGCCTTGAACTTGTGATCCTCCTCCCTTAGGTTCCTAAGGTATTGGGATTACAGAGATGTAATCTGTAATCCCAATAAAGGTATTGGGATTACAGAGATGTAATCTGTAATCCCAATACCTTAGCCTAGCAACAAACCTTGTTTTGAGTCTTTTCCATAAGGAAAAATGTATTGCTTTTAGTATAAGGAACAATTATTTAAATGCCAGATTTTATTAAACACATCAAGTTTCCTAAAGATTGTATTGTTCTGCATGTAACAGATTAGGATTTGTCCTAGGGCTGGACATTGGTCAAAAGACCCAGTCACATAAATAAAGATTTGAGGTGAAGTCTGGAGTCATTTTCAAAGCAGATACGTGGACCATCTGAGCTAAGGATATTGGAATTTCCACAAGGGAACCATCAATTATTTTAGCTGTGAAAGTTTGTCCAAATTCTTTAGCTAAATCTCAAAGAGCAAATACAGGCTACTATGAAATAAGACTTGCAATACCTTTTCCACGATACCCAGGTCTCCTTCAGCAATAACACGTCTAACTATAGTTCCTGCCTTCTGAGCAATAGAATACGCTGAAGCTACCAACCGCATCAACACAGTGTGACTCGAAGCCATGATGCTCCCTAAAAGGAAATCAAGAAAAATGCTTTGTTACTTTAAAAGCCAAATATTGGTTTTACATACTTGAATTCAATTAGATGCATATTTATTAATTGCTTACTTTAACTGAGTAGGTTCTTTAATAAATATGTACCTAAAGAGACTTGGGCAGGACGTGATAGTGCATACCTATAATCCCAGCAGTTTGGGTGGCTGAGACAGCAGGATAATGAGTTCAAAGCCAGCCTCAGCAAAAGCAAGGTGCTAAGCAACTCAGTGAGATCCTGTCTAAATAAAATACAAAATAGAGCTGGGGATGTGGCTCAGTGGTTGAGTGCCCCTGAGTTCAATCCCTGGTACCAAAAAGAAAAGAAAAGAAAAAAAAGAACGATATGGAAAAACCTCAATTTCAGCATTAACTCTTTCCTATAGCATTTTTTTCTCTCTGCAGATGGGACATTTCAAAGCACATTATGATGAAAAACTGGCCCAAAAGGTTCAGCATGTGAAAAAGTTTTGTGTGTGAGATATATAATGTGCAAAGGCTACGGAAGATGTTTCAGGGGCTAAAAGTATAAGATGTAACATCTGCCTTTAATGGGTTAATATTTTGGTGAGTTGTGCAGGATATAATATAACCTAATGTCTAAACCTAAACTGGCTTCAATAGGTTAAGGGATTAAAGTGTATATATGGGGTAATTTAAAAGAAGAAGGGGGCTGGGAATGTTTCTCAGTGGTAGAGCACCTGCCATTGAACAACATGTTCATGCAACTGTGCAAGGCCCTGAATTTGATCCCTAACATCACACACAAACAGGTTAAGGATTACACATTATTACAATTATTTTCTGAAATTCAATGAATATTCTTTTAGAGACTGAGTGAAATTTAACCTGTTTTGTTTACCCCGTCCTCAACAGTAGCCAAACAAAGAGAAAAATCATCATAACTCGAGTGAAGATAATCATCTGAAAAAAAATTATGAGTGTCAGGTAAGTCCCTAGCTCAGATAAATGGAAACAAACAAGCAAGCAAATCCCCAACTTGTAGGATTAAGTATATTCCTTTTTGAAAATACAAATTCAAATCCTGGAATTTTAGTGACTGCTCTGGATGCTGGGATATACCACCCAGATTCCCTTCAGACCAAAGGGCTTACTTCCCCAGCTGCTAAGATGATGGTCCCTAGCTGTCATCTTTCTTTGGGAATTTATCTGCYAAGAAAAGTCACTTCATCTGAAGCTTGTCTACAGGAGGGTTTAAAGGCCACTGCCCACCCAACTGGCTGCCACCCCAAATCTGAAGGGTCATCCCAACTTTTGAGTACCCAGGGAGAGACTACTGAGTTCACAGTTGAGACTGCATCCAGCTCAACATGCCCCCTCCTACTTCCTTCCCCTTCCTCTTGGGATCAAAAGAATACTCCCTAATAAACCTCTATCACTGTCTCAGAGTGTTCATGGAGAACAAAACTAAGATAAAAACTTTCAGTCTGGATATGTAGCTCAATGGAAGAGCACTTGCCTAGCACACCCACGACCATGGTTTTGATATCCAGCACTGCACAAACAAAGAAACAAAGGAACAAAAATTCTGTAATTTCTAAATCAAATTGGATCAACAATATTTCATTGCAATAAAGCCACATATTATTATTCTCTGCATACAGGAACTATATATATAAAAAATAGTACAAACCTTGATTCAGCAAGTCACTGTGCTGTTACAAATTTCTGACTGAATACTTACTTTGATGTGCCTTTTAACCCCTTTACATCTTTTTCTATCACTCTCATTCTATTTATGAGAATTATTAAGATAATTAAGATAATATACAAGTGAAAAGATGGAATTGAAATTGATTTATGGTAATGAATATCATATTGTGACCAATAGCTGTCTAGAATTAAGATGAAAATAAAATGGGTTTCTGTGGAATATATGAATTCTGTTTACCTTATTATATCATAATCAGGCTAGATTAATTTTCTTCACATACTATATATTATACATGGACTAAACTAGCTATGATCATTACCAATTCAGGAGCACCACAAACAGAAAACATACAAAATAATTTAATAAACATTTCATTGGCCTTACTTTTGCTCCTTTATATCAATGGCCAGCCATATAGCTGATATATTCTGTGCTGGAAAAGTAGTCTTCAGGCAATTAATTAATTCTATCTAGATGTTTTAACCATTGAGTATATTTTAACATGTCCATATCTTATTCAGTTTCTATGTTATGAAAGACTTCCTTTGTGATTGGAAGGTCATTTTTCCTTACTATCTGGTAGCATTATAACTTTTCACAAATATCACTTACCTTTGAGCCAGTTAAGCAATCATTTGAGCCTTGTCAGGCTTTGGGTGTGACTAAAGCASTTTCCCTTCTGTTTGCCAAGTACACTTTGTTTTCTTCTTCCAAAGAAAAACTTTCAGGCTTAGGTGTCTACTACCTTCCTCACAAAATGTACACTGTACTTACGAACCATCATTTAAAGCTAACATGGAAAACGTACGGTTTGATAAAAAAAAAAAAATACTTATAAACAGTTTCCACAAATCACTTTTATTGACAAAAAAGGAAATATTTCTTCCTTTGTTTCTCTAAAGTACTCCACTTCTGGTCCAAAAGGAATTAGAAATGATATATTACTATCCCCCAACCTAATAATTTTCTCATATTTTTAAAATAAATGGATACAATATTGGTTCTTGTTAAAAAAGATAAATGTAGTATTACCAAAGCACAAACTCTATAAAAGAGGTTCCTATTAGCCTTTTTAAATTGTGCCCTAAACCAGATCCCAAATTAGAATTATCTTTTGATGTTACCTGTGAATTAAGAGTAAGACCAGAGGCAAGTTAACTTTCTTTTTTTTTAATATTTTATTTTTTAGTTGTAGTTGGACACATATCTTTATTTTATTTATTTTTATGTGGTGCAGAGGATCGAATCCAGGGTCTCGCACCTGCTAGGTGAGCGCTCTACCGCTGAGCTAAAACCCCAGCCCCAAGTTAACTTTTTTAAAGTTCAAATTAACAACTGTACTTCTTTCTCTATCAGTTTTATATCTTCTGGGTCCTAAAACATTACCTTCCATGAGCATATCTTTTTCTAAAAGCTTAGTTAAAAATAGTGGTTAAGGGCACAGAATCTGGTCCCAACTACCTGTGTTCACATCCTAGCCCTGGCACACACTAAGTGTGTGACCTTGGGAACACCACTTAAATTTTCTGTGCCCAAACTTGTAAGTGTACATAACAATATTACCTATAGTACAGAGTGGCTGTAATTATTAAGTGAGTTACATATACAAAGGACTTGTCCCTGTAGGTGAGCATCAAATAATAATGTCTAGCCATCATTAAAATCTTTTGTCCTTATTTTTGGCTATCCACCAGGGACATGGGACAGTGTTGAGGGTAAAAAGTTCCTACAGCTTCTGCAACAGTATTTTAACCTTAAGAATGTAATATGATACCCAATATGACCCTGAATCATAGCACAGGTTCTTTTCCCATATTTTTTACTGGTTCATTACAAAAGGTTCTTTCTTTAAATAACATTTTAGGCTTAGAGTAAATATGAAAAAAGGTTTTACAACACGTAAGGCAATCAACCTAACCCTCATCCATTTAAGAAATCCTTACCGTTGCCAACAGAGCTAGCTCAGAAAGATGAAAAAATAACAGGAATCAAATGACCAGTTTCTTCTCATAGCCTGGAAGAGGATCTTTAATAATTCAACATAAAGATAGTGACCATATGAAGATTAGGATCTAAAAATGACAGATGTGTTCCTAATCAAAATACTGTCTTTTGGAGCTGTCCTAAACCACACAAGTAAAACAATGAGAAATGATCGTTTATTTTAAAAATTATAAGAGGTAAGAAAAATTTTGTCCAGTTTTCAAGAATGTGAGGAACATGTTCCAGAGCATCTTTGGTTAGAATGAAAAGCCATGAAACCTCTTAGGAGGGCTTTGAGAACCTCAATAAAAGTAACATGTATACATCTTATGAACCAGCAATTATATTTCCAGGAAAATCCAAATAAATCACTAAGACCTATAAATATGTAGAAATGGCAACTGAAAGAGTATTGGCTGTTAAAATGAAATTGAGTGTTACATGTAAGAATTTCTAAATTTGGGTGCACTAAGGAGCTCAAAGTCTAGGTTTGCCTTGTTTCTACAATRCAGAGCGATAAAAATACCCACGAAAATGTTGACACTCAAGATTCTAGGTCTAGAAATGGAATATCCGGAAAAGCACTCTGATTCACATATACTTTCTTTTCTTTTTAAACATAAATTCCTTGAATGTCCTCTTATCTGTGCAAAGGGGTAGAGTTAAGGGTCAAGATTTGCCTAAGGCCCTTCTCTCACGTGACAGGGACGGGGAGAGCACTTACTTTGTCAAATTTGCAAGGACAGCGGACAAATGACGCTCTAGGGGTAACCCAACTGGGTTACCAAACCACAGGTCCCTCGGTAGGTCCAGTACCGCGTTTCCGTGCAGCCAATAGGTCGTGCTGGGACAGAGGGCAAACCTACCTCAGCGACTGAGCATGCGGGAAATTCGGCGCAAGCGCAGAACAGCCACTTCCCAATTGCTGCTTTGGGCTCCTGACCCGTCAGGAAACTCCACTTATCCGTGTTTTATGCAAAGTCTCTGTAGTGCAAAAGCTCCTGATAAAAAAGCAAAAGCTGCATCTACTTTTTAGGGTAGTTTCTGGTTTCAGGTGGCTTCCAGCACACGTGGTACAGTTTGGCTTGAACCAAATTAATAGCAGTTTGTTTGGGTTCAGGTTTTTAATGACTTGCCTTTATTAGACTCTTCAGAGCTCTCASCTTAGTTTTCATTTAAACAATATTTTACCTAAAAATTCATTGAATTATTTTGTGAGAGTGGTAATGAGTAATTTTAAAATTTTGTTCCTGTGTGCTCTTCTGTAACTCTCAAGCTTTTGTAAATAGAAACAAACCCTAATCTCTGTTTTTAAAATACTCACCAGAGAGGCTGGGGATATAGCTCAATAGTAGAGTGCTTGTCTAGAATGGAGGAGACACACTAGATTCAATCCCTGGTACCTTGAAAATTAAAAAAAAAAAGAAAAAGATTGTAATTGCACAAATACAAATGGCATGAATAAGGACAATCACAACCTACTCTAAGCATATAATAAGTGGTAAGAGAAGTCTGCAGGCATCCTAGAGAATAGCTATCTTCCAAGTGTTGGTTGCATCCTCTTAACAGGTTTTGCAAGGCAACAGCATAGTTAAATTAAGCAAGTTGTTAAAGCAGAGGCTAATTAGGAGTTTCTATGTGTATACATCTTTGTGCTTCTTTGAGATTATAGTTATAAAATAGATCCTAGATAGGAACTGCAGGTCAAAGACAGAGTGCCCTGGAGCCTAGATGACTGGGCTTGAATTCAATCTCTGCTACTTCTTGGTTGTATGATCATGGAAAGTTACCTTACAAAAAACTAGGAGAGAGCTGATAGCCAAATCACACTAAGCCAAGGARACTTCATTCACACTCCTGTAGTGTAAGTAACTGAAATGGCCAATGTGGTCCAAGAGTCCCTAGTAAAAGTCAATTATAACTTTCTTTTATTTTTTTCAAGCTGGGGATTGAACCCAGGGCCTCATGCATGTTAAATATCTGCTCTATCACTGAGTTCCACCTCCAGCCACTTCAATTAGATCTTTAAAACTCAAATTTATAATGGCTGAGGATGTGGTTCAGTGGTAGAGTGCTTGCCTAACATGTGTGAGGCCCTGGATTTGATCCTCAACATGGCTGGAGTGGGGGGGGGGGCACACGACCCTCAATTTGTTGAAGTGTTGTTGATAATATTTATATGGAACTGTGTTCTCCCTAAAGCAGTGTTGCCCATAATGGAGTTAATGCCACTGTAATGTCATTGAGAGCTTTACCAGTGATTAAATCAAATGAAGATGTGCTGTTGTGTAGAAGATACCAAATTTCTAAGGCTTGGTATAAATAGAAATTAGCCTGTCAATAACTTTTATTGATTATATATTAAAGCAACAGCATAAATATATCGTATTAAATATACTTTTTTTTTTTTTTGCGGGGGGGGGGGGGTACCGAGGATTGAACTCAGGGGCACTCAACCACAGAGCCACACCCCCAGCCCTATGCCTTAATCTGTATTTTATTTAAAGACAGAGTCTCAGTGAGTTGCTTAGCGCCTCGCCATTGCTGAGGCTGGCTTTGAGTTCGTGATCCTCCTACCTGAGCTTTCCCAGCCGCTGGGATTCCAGGAGTGTGCCAAGATGTAAACGTACACATTTTTAAAATCAAGGCTCTGCGATTGAAAAAAATCCGTGGGCTTAGACACTTTTTCCCCGCCCCCTAGGATCCGACGGCTGCAGCGAAGACCCGGAGTGGTTCCATCCTCTCCGATTCCGGGACTACGCACCKTCCGCGCTGCCGGGCGCGTGCGCACTCCCGCCCAGATTCTTGGGGGGGGGGGGGTCCTTACTTCTTCCAGCCTGGGCTGGAACCCTGGACCTCGCACTCAAGGGGCGTCCTGGGTTGCTCCGCCATGCGTTGGGGACTGCGCCCTCGAGGGCCGGGGGCTGCGGCTCTGGCCTCAGCCCGGAGCTTCTGGGGACCGCCCCGCCTTCCCTGTCGCCTAGGGTGGCTAGGGGAGACGAGGAGGCTTCTAGTGCGGTCTGTCACCGGGGCCAGTAACGAGCTGACCAACCCGAATAGCGGCAAGTACCGCGACACGGTGCTGCTGCCTCAGACCAACTTCCCCATGAAGCTGCTGGGCCGCCAGCAGCCGGACATGGAGCTGGAGATCCAGCAGGTACAGGCCCCTCGTGGGCGCGGGGCATCCACCCGGAGGCCGGCGGGGCGGGGCGAAGGAAAACCGGCGCTCCTGGGCCCATCACACCGACCAGGCTTCGGCGGGAGGGCGGCCGGCAGAAACCGGATCCCGGGAAGTCTTTTGCTGCCTTTGGGTTTTACTGGTGRACACCCAAGTGAAGAAATCTCTTGACAGGCCCCTCAGTTGTGGCAGGTTCTGCAGCGAGATATTTAGGGAGACTCCAGTGATGCYCAGATGCCAGCATGTATTGAATGCACATCCCATATCTAGCACGGGAAAGTAAATCAACCTCGGACACTTTTCCAGTGACTTGTCAAAAGCGAATTAACACGTACACATATAAGTAAAAATAAACTTATAAGTAACGAGGGGAAGTTGAAGCCCACTTTTGTGGGATCTTTAGGTCCTTAGTTGGAATTATAACTCCTTTGATGGATAAGATTTATTTGAGACCCCGTTTTACACTCTGTCTTCTGCTTTGCACTGAACTAAGTGTTTCTGTAATTGTAGAGTTAAGAAAAAAAAAAAAAACTTCCATAGTTGCAAATACTGTTAATATGCTTAGCCTAAATATTCTCAATGACAGTTACCAGGGTTCAAGATCTTAAACCTGTTTTGGCCATCTAGTTTTTTAAAAGTAGTACCTTCTATATGCTAAGAAGTGTCACAGTTTCAGTTGTTTGTTCATGTAATTTTCAAACCTGCCCTGTAACATATATAACATTTTTTTTTTCCAGATGAGTAGATCTATAGGAGACTTGGCCACTGCCACACAGCTTGTGAGGGAATGGGTGTGTGACTGCAATGAGTGTTATTCCAGATTTAGGAAGTGGCAGGTGTTAAAGCTGAAGAATAGCAAAAATAAGTTAYAAGTGCCTGGGGGAATCTATAGGGCATTCAGCAGGACTGGATGGAAGACTAAGGGGTGGGAGTACAGAGAGGTTGCCCAAGAATTGAGTGGTACTAAACCTTTGTAAGGTGTGGAAACCGTGTAAAGAGTTTAGACTTCAGTCTGAAGTCTATGGGGGGAAACTTGAAAAGTTTCAAGAGACTACTCAGTTGTGCATTTCAGAAACTTCATTAATAATCAGAGTTGAATAGATTGGAATGAGATAAAAAAATGAGCAAGTGTTGGTTGTTATTTATGATAAGATTCTATAGTATATGATGTTTAGACATTGTTGTTCTTTTTCTACAGAAATGTGGGTTTTCCGAACTTTATTCATGGCAAAAAGAAAGAAAAACAAAGACAGAATTTTGTCTTCATGATGGACCTCCTTATGCAAATGGTGATCCTCATGTTGGACATGCTTTAAATAAGGTAATTATAATTTAGGTTGTGAGACTTGAGAGGAAATGTTGATGTAAAAAAAAATTCTCTATACAAAAAGTKTATTCTGATTATATGATCATGTAARTTTACATTGGTGCATRAAACTAAAACTTTTGTGGTACTAGGGATTAGACCTCCTGCATAGTAAGCATATACTCCACCACTGAGCAATACTCCAAGCCCAAAACTAAAATACTTTAGTAGGAATAAACAAAATAAAAATAACGAAAAATAACATCATTGGCATTTTATTCAGCTTATTTATACAATAGTAAATATCATTTTATTCAGTACATAATTATCGAGTATGTTTTTTATGTGCTAGTCATTGTTCTAAACTCTGGGCATAATAGTGAACAAACTAAAGCTATGTTCTGTGCTTTTTGTTTTAGTTGGGAGCATATAATCATCAAGATAAACAAAATATATAATATKCTAGACAGTGATAAGAGCAATAATTATAATATCAGAGGAGAGAGATGACAGGGTCACTTGGAAAAACTACAATTTTAATAAATTAATGTAGGATGCCTCCCTCACTAAAAGGTCCCGGAATGAAAAGTCCTCAAGAAAGCAAGTGAGTGAGCTGTGGGAAGATTGGGGGTAAGAATATCAAATGTAGAGTCCCTGAGATGAGAGTTTTCTTGTTGAATCTGAGGAATAGTAAGTAAACCTATTGTCTCAATTAAACTAAAACTAGAGGGTGAAGAGTAGATGTGGCTACAAAAGTAGTGGAGTCCAGATCTTAAAGGCCATTTAAAGGACTTGAGATTTTATTTCAAGTTAATAGAGAACCATTGCAGGGTTTTAAGTAGAGGCATTCAGGATCTATGTTTCATTTATTTAATTTTTTTGCAGTACTGGAATACTCTACTGCTGAGCTATGTTCCAGCCTTTTAAATAGACAGAATCTCAGGGAAATTGCAGWGGCTGGCCTGGAACTTGTTATCCTCTTGCCTCAGCCTCTTTAGTAGCTTGGTGCCTTAATTTTTTGTTATTGTTGTTTTTTTGGAGGGGGAGTACAAGGGATTGACCTCGGGGGCACTCAGCTTCCGAGCCACATTTTGTCTTTTAGCCCTATTTTGTATTTTATTTAGAGACAGGGTCTCACTGAGTTGTCTTGCTATTGCTGAGGCTGGCTTTGAACTCGMAATCCTCCTGTCTCAGCCTCCCAACCTGCTAGTGCCTTAGTTTTAAATACGAAGTGAATTGAATCGGTTCTCTGAGTGCCCACTACATTTTCTCTCTGCTTTCTGTGTAAAGGGCAACAGTGATTGCATTTGCTTCATGATTATATGGAGGTGATAGTGGTAGGCTACTTTCTAGACAAAAACTATTTTTGTGATAGGCTGTTTATCAACATATCTTTCTTTACTGATTTGTATTTGTCACCTGTATTAGGTTAACTGCATCATCACTTTACTATTTTCCATGAGATTTTTAATTCATTTAGCACTGCCCCGTAAAAGACCCTAAGATTTTTTTTTTTTTTTTTTGCGGGGTGGGGGCCAAGTAGAGCAGTAATTCTACATATGTGCCTTTTGCAAAGCAAAGATTTTATTGCTTGTTCTGAGTGATCCTTTTGAGTTTAGAAGAGTATCTGAATCTTAATTGATAATATTCTTTTAAAAATAAGAGGGGTCTTTCCTTCTTTTAACTCACTTTCTCTCTCTCTCTCTCTCTCTCTCTCTCCCTCTCTCTTTCTTTCTCTCTCCTCCCAAACCCCACTCTCTCTCTTTCTCTTTTTTTGTGGTACTGAGGATTGAACCCAGGGCCTGTGCATGTGACACAAGCACTTTGTCACTGAATTACACCCCCTGCCTTAGCCTAAATGTTCCTATGACAGTGATTAGAATTCAAGATTCATAAACTTCTGGCCATCTAGATTTTTAAAGTGTCTTGTCTAGTACTTTATTTATGCCAAGAAGTATAACAGTTTTAGATGTTTTTTCTCATTTAATCTTTATACCTGCTCTGTAAGATGGACATTGCAATATTCTTTTCAGATAAAGAAACAGGCCCATAAATGAGTTGGTCAGGGTCACACAGCAAGTAAGGAGCAGGGTATGGGACTGCCCTCTCTGGGTATTTTTATATTAAAATAGTATTGTCAGATGGATGTGGTGGAGCATGGCTATCATCCCAGCTACTCAGGAGTCTGACAGGAGAACAGGAGAATTGCAAGTATGAGGCCATCATGGGCAACTTGGTGAGACCTTGTCTTACAATTAAATAAACAAAACAAACAAACAAAAAGGGCTGRAGGGGCTAGGGTTGTAGCTCAAGTGGTACAGCGCTCACCTAGCAAGTGTGAGGCCCCGGGTTCCATCCACTGCACCACACAAAAATAAATAAAATAAAAGTATTGTGTCCAACTACAACTAAAAAATAAATATTAAAAAAAAGGGGGGGCTGGAGATGTAGTTCCACTATACAGTACTTACCTGCTATGCATAAGGCCTTGGGTGCCATCCCCAGTACCACCAAAAAAAAAAAAAAAAAAAAAGTTAACCACTAAAACACTGACTTACTGTCCTTTTTTTTGTACTGTAGTTGGAACCCTAGTATGCTGTACCACTGAGCTACATCCCAGTCCCCTTCCTTTTTATTCTCCCCATTTTGAGATGGGGTTTTGCTAAGTTACCCGGGCTGTCCTGCAGCTTGTGATCCTCCTTAGTATCCTAGGCGTGTGCCACTTAGATTATAGGCATGTGCCACAGCACCTGTGGTACATGTTGTCTTAGTCAACTGAGGTTGCTATAATGAAATAATGAATTAAACAACAGGCATTTATTTCTCACTGTTTTGGAGGCTCA